ATTAAAAAACCAACATCAACATCAGCAAATAATTAATTACAAGAACAGACGTTGGACATGGAGAAGATAAAGCATGAAGTCATGGAGTGCATGGTTAAAAAAAAAATTAACTACAAGAACAATATTTCTTTTTAACAAAACAATAAGAATAGAATTTTAGCAATCATCAAGTGATCAACATGCATTAGGTCCTCCTCCTCCTCCATCCCCATTGCCGCTACCGCAACCACCTCCTCTACCATTTCCAAAAGAAGTGTTGCCACCTAAGATTATGCCGGCACTTGCGCATACGATGAACACCACCGGCTCCAAACCCACTTCTTTTTTATCAGCAAACCGTGCCGAGCGAAAACGCTTGCAGAGGCAAGCCAGAAAGGTGAATATCGCGAACAAGGAAAACCAAACTATGAGTATGATTTTCCAAGTTTCCATCTTCATTACAGCTCAACAATACCGATACATCATTCATAGCTTTTCTTTTACGAATTAACGCCTCTCCAAACATAAATGTTAACGTAGTTAAAATGGTAAGATACCAAATTTTTTTATAATTTTATCCTTAACAATTTCTTTTCGGCTGTAAGTTATATTGACAAATAAAGACACTCGGGGAATTATTGAATTCAATTTATCTTAATTATTATGAAAAAAAAAAAAAAAGAATTTGGAGTTAAAATTAAAATATTTAAGGAAATTGGCAAGAGAAGATAAAATTAGTGAAATATATCTAATTTAACTATGAAAAGAATTTGTGTATGATCAGAATAAAAAGGATACGTACGTCTGTTTAGAAATAATTTCATATAATGCTTAAAATTTATATATTTTCTGGTTCTTAAGGAAAGCATGAGAGACAGTCTTGGTCGTCTGTAATATTAGCGACGTGGATGGTTTGTTGACTTGGTTCATCTTTTAACGTTGAAGATGAACTAATCTTGAAGGAGCCGATTATCTGATTCTATCTGACTTTAGCCCAAGTCAAAGTGGAACTTTTACTTTGCTATTTAATTATTTGTTTTCATTTCAATTGTTCGTCAATCCAGATAAAGTTTAAGGATATCACTTAAATCATTAATTATCAAACAGTATGCCAGAAGGGAGAACCAACAATATTTAATATTCTTAAATGCCGCAAATAATTCTTATTAATGATAAGATACGTACAGCTCTTTTAAAAAATACTAAATGAATGAATGAATGAACGAATATCCATACATCATACGAGAAAATTAATGTATACAGTATGGTATTTGAAATAACCTAAATATACAAATAGGCAAATGGCCTAATAATGTTTTATGTATCAATCTAAACAAGAAAACCACCATATGTATTGCTCAAATATTGAAATTTTAAAAGACGCCACCGCCACCACCATCATAACCGCCGCCACTACCAAAACCGCCGCCACCCCCATCAAAACCTCCTCCACCACCACCAAAACCACCGCCACCCCCATCAAAACCTCCACCACCACCATCACAACCGCTGCCTCCACCCCCATCAAAACCGCCGTCTCCGCCGCCCCCACCTCCTCCATCTCCACCATCTCCACCATCGTTTATGTCTATGGCTACATCCCCGGCGCCTCCACCACCGCCATCTCCGTCGCCACCACCTCCCTGACAAGTAAATCTTTGGAGACAAAACAAAACTAAAACAATAAAGAACATAGCAGAAAGGGCTATAATTGCAGCTTGCCAACTTTCCATTTTCTTTTATTGATGGATAATCCAATAAGTTCTTCAGCGTATTACTCCTTTTATAGTCATCCAAGAGATTTGAAAAGTTCTGCATGTTGAATAACTTTCAAAATCCAATGGGAGGATGATTGTTTTTAATGGTCCAAAACGAAGGTTACCGCGTTATGGCGAGCGAAGCTAACTAGTCCCCACACAGTTACTTAGAATTCAAATTGCTTCTTGGACTCCAAAATCAATCACCCATATGTCAATAAAATCATTAAATAATATAATTACCAAAATACCCCTTATTATGGAGATAAGAGAAAACTTTCTCTAGGAAAACTATCCGTTCATGAGCTAAACTACAGAACCATTAGGTTAAAGAATTACTTCTGGATATTAATAAAAAGTGATTTGATAATGATATTGATTTAGAAATTTTGATTTAAGGGGAGGAATTTTAGGTTTGGAAGAAAAAACAAATGGTTAAAGGACAATCTTATCCAAAATTGAAATGTTAAAGATTTCGCTAATAGATATGGTTACAGTAAGTTGCTTAATGTTTGGTATTTCAGTATATTATTTTATTTTTTTTAACCAAGATCAGAGTAGGTTATGTAATTTAAGTATGAAAAGGAAAATTGTATGATTAGAATTAAAAAAAATAAAAAATAAAAAAACAAAAAAAAAAACACTTATGGTAAGAAGAATTAATAAAAGAATAATATTACATTTACACCACTCTTTTACACAATTTTCATTACATTATGATGTGGTATATGCCACAATCACACAAATTCTATTATAATATTAAAAATTCAAAATAATTAAAAATTTGTATGGTTATGACATATGCCACATCATGATGTAATGAAAATAGTATAAAAGAGTGGTGTAATGTAGCATTACTCTTAATAAAAAGATACAGCCAACATACATATAATAACATCAATTGAATCTTTTATCAAGACTCCTCAAGACAAGCCAATAATAAGTAACAACAAATCAATGTTCATGTTCACGTATTAATGACATGTTATTACTAATCCTTTAAGACTTTAAAACTATCGACCGGATAAGAGTTTCAGTGACTATATTTATTAGCAACCGAGGAGGGATTCGAACTCAGAATTCCTTCAGTAATCCACTCACGAGTTTCTATCAAACCACTCAACCATTAGAGGTAATTAATCTATCTTATATGTTTTGTACAAATTTTTCTATCTTATGGTTCATGGTTAATGATGATTCTTTCTGCTTCCAGCCAGCTGCAGAAAGCATCACATTAGACGGCCAAATATTGCAGATTTAACCGCCAAGGCCATTGCTTGCTACCGCCGGCCACCACCATTGAAAGATTTAATTTTAAGACCTCCATGAGCGCCACCATTTATGTGTATGGCTAAACCTCGGCCATGGTGGTGACGCCATGATCACCATTCACCACCTTGGCCATCTTCATCACCATGCCCTACCTGATTACTACTATAGCTTCGGAAGCAACTCACTAATAAAAATACAATGAACATACTAGACCAAGCTATGGGTATAGCATGCCAATTAGGTTCCATTTTCTTTAATCTCTCTACGTTTAATGGTCCAATAACTTTTTATATCTCAAACTCCTTCTATACTTAACTAAGAACTTTAAAAATTGCAAAATTTAGCACTTGGACAGTGAGTTCTTCACCTCTAGTATACAAAGAACTAAATTAAAGAAGCAAGAATTCTCAAAACACAATGTACACTTTATTTCTCTGATCAAAAGCTTGATATATATGTATACACACTATGGATAATTGTTTCTACGAACAACTAACTACAAGAACACAATTCTCCAGAATTTTTCGCTCCTCATAGCTGTAGCCTGTAACTAATTTCGCTATACTAACAATTCTTTTCTTCTTGGCGGCATTGGGTGCCAGAGGTCTGCAGGGCTGTTAGGTTGGTTAAGAGAAGACAAACTGGTCGTTAACTAATTGACGCTATTGTCATTCCACTATCTTCTCATTGGTTAAGTTTCTAATTAAATATCTTCTACTTTCAAACATTCCTTTTTCATCTTATCATTTATAAATATATTTAAAGACTAAAATAATAAGACTATAACAATAATATACAATATTTATCGTCATGTTGTCTATTAGGAGAATATAAAGAGGGGATAATCAAAAATATTATCCTTCAGGTTTGCTTTAAGCACACTTCAGTATAGTAGATCTTTTCAATAATATTTTGGTTCCTATTAATAACATTTTAGCTCCTAAAGTTTGCTAATAACATGGACAAAAATGTTATTGTCTTACTAACGTCTGATAAGCAGTGTTTTAAAACCTGGTCCAGCCTAGTCGGTTGAACCGGTTTATCAGGCCAAGTTACCAATTTTCCTATTCACCGAAAACCCTAGAAATTAGAATGACGATCGGCGAACAATTGAAGGTTGGGATGTTGGCGGTTTTGAAGAGAAAGGGCCGGTGAGTGCAATGGTGGCGAGAGAGGTGATTTCCGGTTAGTGAATCGATTGGAAATTGCAAAACTAAATCGATGGCAATAGCGGACTGTTACCGACGATTGAGGAGGCAACCGGGGGAAATGTGAGATGGGTTTTGGTCAGAAGGTTGAGATGAGTGTTTTCGTGGTGATGAAAAGTGTTTTTATTGCTGGAAAAAAAGGCCTTGTTTGCCCTCGTTTGTCGATGTCGACGGTGGTGTTTGGAGAGTTTTTGCAAGATTTCAAACCTGTAGGGAATTACATGTAATTTTTAGGGGTATTTTTTTGGATTTCAAACTTTTGGACATCAGTTTGATCCGCCAATGAAATCGATCAACCCAAGACCCGACCACTTTTTCGGGTTTCACCCCAGATTGGTTATTAAAACATTACTGATAGGACCAAAATATAATAAACAAAAATTTCACGGAACTAAAATTTAAGCCAACTGTCCGAGACGAAATTGTAGTGTGCAATCAAATAGGATCATTAAGGATTGAACCTGAGGGGTACCCCAACTAATTGTCTTTATTAATTTGAATTAGTGTTTTGCTAAGAAATTTCCATTGAAACAACAAAAGTAAACGTACAAGTTTCAAAATTTCTCTCAACTCCTACTTGGATTCATCTTTAAATAATATGAATAAGGAATTAAAACAGCAAGAAGTATAACTTCAACGATTACAAGAATAAATTTAATTTAAAAAATAAAACAAGAGAATAAAATTCTACCATACTTGAGAATGTTGATTTATATTAAAAAAAATACAAGAAAACATTATGTGGACACAGATATATGATTCAACATAAATTGACATCAGGTGATTAACATGCACTTGCTCCTCCTCCTCCTCCTCCACCAACAGCGCCGCCGCCGCCACAGCCCCCTCCTCCTCCAGCTCCACCGAAATCGGTGCCACCAAAGCCTATGCCTGCGCCTGCAGCTGCAGCTGCACCATGATGATGATGATGAGCACCACCGAAACTACCACCACTACCAGCAAATCCTACCCAACGATAACGACGGCAAAGACAAGCTAAAACTGTGAAGAAAGCGAAAAATGACACAAATATTATGATTAATATTTTCCAAGTTTCCATATTGATTACCTCTCAACAATAATACCAGAACGTTATATGTTATATTCATGGCCTTTTTCGTTTTATATATAGTTCGACGTATTTGATTATTCAAGCAAAAGTGACCAGAACAGGGTTCTCGGATAAGTCTTATTCAACAAAACTTGGTAGTTGATTTCGTTAAGGAATTGAATATTCCTAAGCTTTGACTTGTCACAGTGCTTTGATTACGTGTGTGGATTCCAATTCTCAGGGTCAATTCCTTGAATTGTGACAAATTCTTTTACGTAATCTTAATTAATTCCATTAAATCTTTCTAATAAATCAATTCAGAATTCAATTATTATTAAGATAACTTGAGCCAACTTTTTGGACTGCCCAAGGCCTAAATAGTTGTAAGGGCTTTGGACATCCATGAATCATAATCAGGTTCTACTGTCATTACTGACCTCTTAAAATTTACATAATCTAAACCTAAAAAATTTATGTACAAAATGGTACGGTAAAAAATGAATAGAAGAATAAAATAATAAGTTTAATTTTTTATATTTAACAATGTTCTTATATCGACCTAAGATGTCACCAGGCCAAGTTGGTTAAAATAAGCAACCTATGTAATTTGCTCTTATACATAAGATTGCATCTATAAAATTTCTGATCGTTCTTCTTAATTTTATCATAATATAATCCATGATAGATGATTGATTTAATTTAGTAAATTATCCGTTATCTAAGAAAGATAAAAACCTATACCACTCAAATTCGAAAATAATATACAATTTTATTTTATTAACTATAAAAATGTCAATTCTGACCATTAATTCGTTTAAATCTAATGGTTTGTTGAATTAACAATTAAAATGAAATAACTAATGATAGCTTCTCTTAGGTCCATCGGATTAAGATATATAATAAAAAATTAACGAATTTGTGTACAAATCTGCACACAGATTCTAGTAATAAGTGCATTTTTTTATTTTTTATTTGGAATATGAATATAATTCTAATTCATATAACTTTTTTTTTTTTAAATATTAAAGCACATTCAAATGAGAAACATATATGTATTTATATAAATGAACCAACAATTTCTACAAGATATTTACAGCCTGAAAACACGTGTATACAAAAACATGACTGATGGCTCATAATCATGCAGGCTTATCTTCCACCAGCTAATAAGAAGCACCACATATACATTTGGTCTCTATATTTACAATTTTAACAGCCGACGCCGCCGTCTCCACCACCACCACCGCCAACGCCGCCGCCGCCACCACCTCCGCCGCCATCGCCTGCAGCACCATGATAACCTCCATCATTTATGCTCATCGCAACAGCAGCAGCAGTCCAGAAAGGGAATATCGCGAACAACGAAAACAAACTATGAGTATGATTTTTCCAAGTTTCCATCTTCATAAAGCTCAACAATACCAATACATTATTCATAGCTCCGTAGTTTCTTTTTACGGATTAAAGCCTCTCCAAGCATAATGTTAACGTAGAAAATGGTAAGATACCACAAAATTTTATAAATTTAACCTTAAATTATATTGACAAATAAAGACATTCGGGGAATTATTAGCGACAAGTCGGTAATTCATACGTGGATGGTTTGTGTCTTGGTTCATCTTAACGTTGAAGATGAACAATTAATCTTGAAGGAGACGATTATCTGATTCTATCTGATTTTAGCCGAAGTCGAAGTGGTACTTTTACTTGCTATAATTATATTTTTCATTTCAATTGTTCGTCAATCCAGATAAAGTTTAAGGATATGAATAATTATCAAGCAGTATGCAGAAGGGAGAAGCAACAATATTAATATTCTTAAATGCCATAAATAATTCTTATTAATCATAAGAAACGTACAGCTCTTTGAAAAATATAAATGAATATCTATACAATACGGGAAAATTAATGTTACAGCAAGTATCTATCGTATCTAAATATACAAATAGGCAAATAGCCTCAAATCTTCTATGTATCAACCTAAACAAGAAAACCACCATATGCATTGCTCAAATATTGAAATTTTAAAAGGCGCCACCGCCTCCTCCTCCTCCACCACCGCCACCACTAAACCGCCCACCCATCACAACCGCCGCGCCGCCACCACCAGAAACGCCGCCACCCCATCAAAACCCCCCTCCACCACCACCACCACCACCATCATCAAAACCGCTGCCTCCACCCCCATCAAAACCGCCGTCTCCGCCGTCTTCGCGTCCCACTCCTCCTCTCCGGCGCCTCGACCTCCGCCGTTAACACAATGTACACTTTATTTCTCTAATCAAAAGCTTGATATATATGTAACACACTATGGATAATTGTTTCTACGAACAACTAACTACAAGAACACATTCCCGGAATTTTTCGCTCCTCATAGCTGTAGCCTGTAACTAATTTCGCTATACTAACAATTTTCTTCTTGGCGGCATTGGGTGCCAGAGGTCTGCAGGGCTGTTAGGTTGGTTAAGAGAAGACAAACGGGTCGTTAACCAATTGACGCTATTAATTCCACTATCTTCTCATTCGTTAAGTTTTAATTAACTATCTTCTACTTTCAAACATTCCTTTTTCATCTTATCGTTTATAAATATATTTAAAGATTAAATAATAAGACTATAACAATATATGCAATATTTATCGTCAGTTGTATTAGGAGAATATAAAGAAGGGTTAATTAAAAATATTATCTTCAGGTTTGCTTTAAGCACACTTTAGTCTAGTAGATCTTTTCAATAATATTTTGGTCCCTATTAATAAAATTTTAGCTCTTAAAGTTGCTAATAACATGGACAAAAATGTTATTGTCTTACTGATGTTTGATAAGCAGTGTTTTAAAACCTGGCCCTGCCTAGTCGGTCGAACCGATTCAGCGGGCCAGGTTACTATTTTCCTATTCACAAAAACTCTAGAAATTAGAACGTGATCGGTGAATAATTGAAGGCTGGGATGCTGGCGGTTTTAAGAGGAAGGCCAGTGAGTGCAATGGTGGTGAGGGAGCGATTTCTAGTGAGTGAATCGATCGAAAATTGCAAAACTAAATCGATGGCACAACGGGTTGTTACCACAATTGACAAGGCAATCGGGGGAAAGGTGAGATGGGTTTTGGTCAGAAGGCTGAGGGGAGTGTTTTCGTGGTGATGGAGAGTGTTTTCATTGCTGGAAAAAAAGGCCTTGTTTGCCCTGGTTTGTCGCGTCGATGGTGGTATAGGGTGTTTTGCAGGATTTCAAACCTGTAGGGAATTACATGTATTTTTTGGGGTATTTTTGTTGGATTTTAAATTTTTGGACACAGTTTGACCCACCAGTGAAACTGATCAACCTGAGACCCGACCACTTGCCAGGTTTCACCCCAGGTTGGTTATTAAAACATTGTTAATAAGGACCAAAATACAATAAAGAAAAATTTTATGGACAAAATTTAAGCCAACTGTCCGAGACGAAATTGTAATGTGCAATCAAGTAGGATCATTAAGGATTGAACCTAAGGGTACCCAACAAATTGTCTTTATATATTTTAATTAGTGTTTGCTAAGAAATTTCCATTGAAACAAAAAAAGTAAACGTACAAGTTTCAAAATTTCTCTCAACTCCTACTATGATTCTTCAATTAATATGAATAAGGAATTAAAACAACAAGCACAACTTCAACAATTACAAGAATAAATTTAATTTGAAAAATAAAAAAGAGAATAAAATTCGACCATACTTGGGAATGTTGATTTATTAAAAAAAAAAAAAAAAAAAATACAAGAAGACATTATGTCGAGACAGATATATCATCAACATAAATTGACATTAGGTGATTAACATGCACTTGCTCCTCCTCTCCTCCTCCTCCGCCACCAGCGCCGTTGCCGCCACAACCCCCTCTCCTCCCGCTCACTAAAATTGGTGCCACCAAAGCCTATGCCTGCGCCTGCAGTGCAGCTGCACCATGATGATGATGATGATGACCGCCACGAAACTACCACCAGCAAATCCTACAACAATAACGATAGCAAAGACAAGCTAAAACTGTGAAGAAGTGAAAAACGATACAAATATTATGATTATTACATTCCAAGTTTCCAATTGATTACCTCTCAACAATAATACCAGAACGTTTATGTTATTGTTGATGCTTGATTTTGGACACCAACGACTCGCACGTGCAAAGTGCTAAGAGAGTCTTAGAAATACATATGATGGATCCATGAGATTTGATATAGTGCTGAGATTATATATGTTGCAGAAACAAAAAATAGGTTGCAAGAGAGGTTTTTATAGTGGTTCGGATGCTTAAAGCAAATCTTACATATTGTTATTTATATTCTCTGGCATTTCTATGATATTGCCCGTAAGGCATACAAAGATGGAGAAATACTTATTTACAGAGAGAAATAAGAAGCTCAAATCTATGCCTGTTCTCATATGCCCAGCCCCTTTTCGTGAAGAGAAGTGTCAATTATACACCTTTAAGATCAATGTAATGGTGTTTTGCAAGTTGCCTTGACATATGAAAAGCTCTCATTCGTTCTTCTCTTAAAATGAGATAGAGTTGGTACAAGATATCTTTGAGGCGGTATGGGCTTGACAGGAAGTATACTTTGTTTTTTAGGCACTTTGTGAGCTGACATTAGTGTGACTTTTTAGGCATAACAGAAACCCCCGAGTTTTTGGAGTGCGTAATCGCGCTTCAAAAACTCAGGTCTTTGATCTAAATAGTTGTTGCACTATAGGCTGCAGTCTCGAATTGAAGAGCTCGAACTGTGCCTGGCGCGACCGAGTGTTGAGAGTTAGGATGCGATCTAAGAGCTTGGAGCGATCTGAAGCTAAGCGCAATCTGATAATTGACATGAAATATCCAGTAGATGAATTCCTAGAAAATGCTAACGTCAGAAGCCCAAACGCATAGCTTAGAGGCCTTAAACGGATAAGCCAACTTAAAACAGCCATAACTTTTGATCCGAGAGGAGTTTTGGGGCCCGTAAGATATCCACAGAAAGCTTGTTCTGAGCTTTACGTTATGGCAATGGGGGAGCCTGATTGGGGCCATTTTCGGGGCCAAAATCCACTATTTCAGCATGTTTCAAGGCTGTTTTGAGTTTTCTACGCGTTTTTTCTAACGCTGGCAGCTGGTTGCAATCTGAGAACTGAGAATTGATTACGATCTAAGAGTTGAGAACATGACCTAAGGCTGTTCGCAATATCAAAGCTAAAAGCTGATCGCGATTTGAAAGCTAGGAGCTGATCGCGATCTGAGAGCTGGACTAGAGAGTTTGAGGCATGCGATCTGAACGATCTAATTCATACAATCTCAAGTAAATGAGTGAGTTTATGAGCTTAATCAGAGACCATAACGAGCTCGATCAGAGAGCATAACGAGCTCGATCAGAGAGCATAACCAGCTCAATCTGAGGTTATAAGGAGCTCGATCAGAGACCATAAAAAGCTCTATCTAAGATTATAAGGAGCTCGATCAGAGAGCATAAAAAGCTCGATTTGAGATCATAAGGAGCTCGATTAGAGAGCATAACGAGCTCAATCTACGATCATAAGGAGCTCGATCAAAAAGCATAACGAGCTCGATCTGAGATCATAAGGAGCTCAATCAGAGAGCATAAAGAGCTCGATCTGAACATAAAGAGCTCGATCAAATAGCATAACGAGCTTGATCTGAGATCATAAGGAGCTCAATTTGAGAGCATAACGAGCTCGATCTAAGATCATAAGGAGCTCGATTTGAGATCATAAAGAGCTCAATATGAGGTTATAAGGAGCTTAACTAAAGAGCATAAAGAGCTCCATCTGAGATCATAAGGAGCTCGATCAGAGAGCATAAAGAGCTCAATCGAGCATAAAGAGCTCGATCAAAGAGCATAACGAGCTCGATCTGAGATCATAAGGAGCTTGATCAGAGAGCGTAAAAAGCTTGATCTAAGATCATAAGGAGTTCGATCAAAGAACATAAAGAGCTCAATCTGAGGTTATAAAGAGCTCGACCAGACAGCGCGGAGCTCAATATGAGAACAGAAAGAGTTTGATCAGAAAGCATGGAGCTTGATCTGAGAACAGAAAGAGTTCGATCAGAAAGTGCAAAGCTTGATATGAGAACATGAGGAGTTTGATCAGAAAGCGCAGAGCTTGATCTGAGAACAGAAGCAGTTCAATCAAAAAGCGCGGAGCTTAATATGAGAACAAGAGATCAGCGATCTAAGTGCTCGAAAGAGCTATCTGACCACTCGGAAGCACAATCTAAATTATCTGAAAGCGTGATCTCAATGATCTTAAAGGAGCGATCCGGATGATCTGAGCGTGCGATCTGTGATCTAGGCAATCTGAATGTGTGATCTCAATGATCTTGAATGAGCGATCCCGATGATCTGAGCGTGCGATTTGTGATCTGGCCACGCGATCTAAAG